GCCCCAAGTGCTACACGGGGCCCGGACTGGGTAGTTCGGACTAGGCTTCCTAGTCCAAACTACCGTTACTCCTCGTGAAACGTGAAACTCCTTGTGAAATGAGGAGTAACGGTAGTTCAGGCTAGGAAGCCTAGTCCGAACTACCTAGTCCGTGCCGCGTGTAGCCGTGCGGCACGGAGTCCGCACTAGCGGACATTTAAAAATGGTGGTGCCCGGCTTTATGCAAATGAAGCCCGGGAAATTCAAATCCCGGGCTTCATTTGCAACTCCGGTTGCCTACATTAACCACCCTAGTTCAAACTAGGGTGGTAGTGTAGACATACCCTCTCTTTCTCTTCTTCTCCCCCTCCTGCCTCTCACTCGGGGGACCGCAGAGCCCAACTGGTCCTTTGGGCGCCGCACTCTCTGGGCTGCATGGGGGGCGCGGAGCCCAAACGGTCGCTTGCGCCACTTGCTTCCAGGCAGCAGCCCAGCTGAACAGCGGCGCAGAAGTCAGCCGAGTGCCACGGTGGAAGGCGAAGGGGAGTGGGGCGGTGACGTGTGGCATGACAGTGGCTCCAGACCCCGCCCCCTCGCCGTGAACGTCACCGCCCTTCCTCCCTTAGCCTCCCACCGTGGTGCTCGGCTGGCTTCTGCACTGCTCAGCCAGGCTGCCACAGAGGAGCAAGCGGCACAAGCAGCTATTTCGGCCCCGCATTTCCCATGCAGCACGGGCCGCCCAGAGGAAACAGCCAGCATTTCAGGCAACAGCGTTGCCCAGAGGGAAGAGCCGGAATTTCAGCGTTACCGACTCTCAGACATTGGGCTACTATATATATGATGTGGTGCAAAGGGAGTGTGGCCTGCTTCTGCACAGAGACCTTTTTCCGAGTAAAACACCTTGTGCAGTTTATTTACAGTATTGGTTTCCACCGCCCTTAAACGCTACACCACAATATACCTACAGTCCCATGGAGCCCTCAGCTCCTGACGGAAGCAGGGAAAAGCAATCTGCCTCTGTCTATCTGCTTCTTCTCACCCATTTCCCCCTCTTCCTTCAGGTGTCTTTTGTATCATCTGCCTAATAGCTTAATAAATAGCCTCTCAGTTCACCTCAGCCCATCAATTAGGCGCAGAACGTAATGGGAGCTACTCTGAAGTAATTAATTAGAGCTGCAGTGACCAGAGTGCTGACCCAGCTGCTGTTGACAGTGCTTTGTCACAGGCCACATCTCCGCTTACCAGAGGATCGATCTTCCAGGGTTCAATTTAGCAGGTCTAGAAAAGACCTGCTAAATCGAATGCTGAGAGCACCTCCATCAGCACTGGTACTCTTCACTATCTGTGGGAGCATTTCTCCTGTGAACCTCTGTCTGTGGAGACAGCGCCAAGCTCAGCTTAAGGTACATCCACTCCAGCTATGTTATCCCATAAGGAGCAAATACCATTACCTAGTGAATACTCCACGTGACTGACTAAAGGGGTCACTTCCTGAGAATAATGAAAGGTACACGAACCAGAGCAGTGAGCTGGGATATCATTCACCACCACCACCACCTGGAAAGATGGAGAAGAAAGTCATTCCGAAAAAAGGAAGGGATCAAGGTTGTTAAAGTGCTGATAATTACACCCAGAATCATACAAAACGTCACTAGTTTCATTGCAAATTTGAAATTGAGCCCGTTTATTACAGGTTTCTCTAGTGTTCACTGTAGGCAAGGCAGGGCCCAGTTTTGAGGCCCATAACAATAACTTCTCTAGGCACTTGCTGGATCATTTACTGATAATATTCACAGCTCCTCTCCCAGCTCAAATCCTCCCAATGGAATGCTCTAACTTACCCCACACTCAGCTCCTACCCAGATGACAGCCTATATAAAGTGCACAAAAATACCCATGGGGCCTCTATTTATAATTCATTCCAGATCAAATCTAAACATCTTAGCAGTCCAAAGCTAATATTTTTAGCAGCTTGCACCACAGAACTCCATTTGGGATCTGAAAACCAAGTCCTGATCTTGCTGCCTTTAACAGGACTTCACCAGCTCCCCACCCCGCCCCTCATGAAAAAGCATCTGCAATTCTGAACTGGATTAGCGATGCACAAAGTGCAACAGAATCTGTCACCTTCTCCCGCTTGCTAGTCCCCCGGAGCTAATGGGATGAAACACTGAACTATGCTAATAGCAAAAGTAGACTGTGTCAAAGACAAACAGGGAGCAGCTAAGAAATGTGCGTGCTACCTCTACAGGCCCTTAAAAAAACTCTCATCCAATGTAAAAATCAATGGGGTGTTTTGGTATTTGCTATTAGTATTAAGCCAAGAAACTGTTTCAAATGAACAACAAACCTGACAGGAAATTTCTCTCATTTGTATGAAAAATATAATGTTCTGTCTATTTCACTACGTACATCCACTGCCCCCAGCACTGCAGTATCCGAAATTCTTACAATCCTTAATGTGTTTATTCCTATAATGCTCCTATGAGGTAGGTGAGTACTATGATCCCCATTTTGCAGGTGGGGAACAGAGACATTGTCAAGTTAAGTGACCTGAAAAAGATCACGCAGAAAGTGGTGGAAGAGCAGGGAACAGAACATGGATCTCTTGTATCCCAGGCTAGAATCCCACTCACTAAGGGTACATCTACGCGGCATGGCTATTTCGGAATACCAGAGGTATGTCGAAACAGCTATTCCACAGCTACAAAAGCCGCCCATTATTTCAAAATATTTTTCGAAATAACGGGTGCGCTATTTTGCCATCCCGGTAAACCTCGTTGCATGTGTAGATGTGCCAAATTTCAAAATAAGTTATTTCCAAATAGATTCGAAATAAGATATGCGATTTGCATAGCACTAATTGCGTAGCTTATTTGGAGTTTAGGGTGCTGTGTAGACTCACTTAGGGTGCATCTTTCTCAAATCTTGCTAAATAATGGTCCAAACATTGAAGTTAAATAGAGTGTTACTTCAGTCTTTGGAAGTTATGACTATTGAACCCTGTATCAGTTTGATTTTAACAATACAGTCATATATATATATATATATCATTAGCTCTAAGCCCCTACCTCATGGAAAAAATCACCCTCCCTTACTTATGGTTAGTAGCATCTTAATTTGTGCTTGGTCCTACTGATTTAAATGCCTTACTTATGCAGTAAAGCACTGCTCAGCAACTGTAAGGTGGCCGTATCTGTCGGTCAGACAGCAAGTCACAATGAATCTACAGGAACTTGGCCAGTTAATGACTTACCTGCGTGTGGTTATTAGCAGTAGCTAGCATGTCCCCAAATATTGGTCCAATAAACACACCGCCATCATAAACTACACGTGCTGCAATGGCTGGGTTAAGTCCTGTGAGGTTTTCAGCAGAGACCTAGCATGCCGTGAAAGAATGAAGAACCAATTTTTTTCCCATACAGGTTGTGTATCGTTTCACAAGCAAACCAAACTCACATAGCTCAGGATGGGCTGTTATTAAGGATGCTCTAGATGGTGCTTAGTCCTGCTGTGGGGACAGGGGACTGGACTTGATGACCTCACCAAAGCCCGTCCAGTTCTAGAATTCTGTGTTTACGCTACAGGCTACCTTGAATGAATAGAAATCATCTGTGTGCTCAGATAGCCCCACTGTGTGCTCAGATAGCATCCAACTCCCTCACCATCTTAGTGCATGTATCCTACAGCACAATGTTGCGATCTCTGTTTTATAGGCGGGGAACAGAGGCAACAAGGTTAAGAAACATGTTTTAAAGTCACATAGGGAGTCTGCCCTAAGGCACAGAACTGAACCCAGTTTTTCCTTCTTCCAGGCCTGTGTCTTTAGTCCCAGACTACTGGCCTCCCTAAGTATGGCTTGACATTGGCAAAGAAACGTAGACAGGATTCTCTACATAGCAGTTCTCCATCTCAGTCCAATAGGCTGCCTCTGACGGGGGCCAATACTAGATGCTTCAGAGGTTGGCATAAAAGCCCAGTAATGCACCTAGTACCTGCCCAAACAGAGTAGGACCATGCTAGCTTCTACCCCATTTAAACAGGTTTGTAGAAACAGGACTTAGAGCAGGGGTGGGAAATAATATTTTTGCAGGGAGGGGGGATCACTTCACCAATCCTGGTTGTGGTTGTGAGCTGGTCCCGGAAGGGGCGGTACCTTGGGTGGAAGGGGCATGGCACTGCATACAAGGGGAAAGGAAATTTCACGGACTCCCCTGTGGCATGGAGGAGCATGGGAGGAATCTCCCTCTCCCCCTGCCCTGCATGTTTTAACAGCTGGCAGTTCCCTGTGGTGCTGTGTGAGCTTGGTGGGGGAGGAGACTTTGCACATTCCCTCCACCCCCAAGCATGCAAAGTCTCCCACCCCTGCTCTGCCAGGGTGTGCCACATCTAGAGGGAACTGCTAGCCCTTTTGAACAGCTGGTGTCGTGCACCCCCGGTGGGGGGAGGAAACTTTGAGTGCTCCCCCGCCCCTGGGTCTTTATTGTTCTGGGGGTGGGGTCTTGGCAGGGTGGGCCGCAGGCCAGATGACACAGCTTGGCGGGCCAGATCCAGCCTGCAGGCCATATCTTGTCCACCCCAGCTTAGAAGTAATACATAATTCTCGTTAGTATGAGGGGCATGATTTAAAACTCCTGAGGTGGCACCTCAATTCCCCACACGTCACCTATGCCAGCTCCATGTTACCCCCAGCTCCCTCATGGCTTCTTCCCCACTTCTCCCATCACCCCTCTGCTGCAGGCATGGTGCAGGCCAGAGAAGGGTCCAGACACCTGCTACCATCGGTAACTGAGGCTGTGGAGACAGGACGGGACTCAGCAGCTTTCTCCATGCCCTCTGGTGGAGCTATGCTGCCAGCCCGGTCTCTCTTCCCTGCTCTGAACACCTGCTAGCAGGGCTCAATGGAAGCACAAGGTGCCAGTGCCTTTCCCAGGGGTGTACCCCTCAGTTACACTCAATCTGACTCCTATCCTGGGAGAATTCTCAAGGGGCACCTCACTCTTCATGCCCCCCACATGCCACCTCTGCGTAGGGATGGTTTCTCAGACCTGCACAAACAGGGATTTTTGGCTGAGAACCACATGAGGATCAGATGAGAAAACCGTGGGAAGCTACCATAGTAACTTTCTCAGGGCAGGGGGAAGACACCCATCCACCTTGCTCAGAGACCCATGCCAGATGTCTGCTAGCAGTGACAGTGTTTAACCATGACCGTGGCTGCCACAGCTCCATTTCCTATGTCAATGGGCAGGGGGGTCTGGAACAATTTTTATATAGTGGGGGGTGTTGGAAGCCATAGAACCAAATGGGTAAACCCTGTATATGATGGAAACACTTCAAGCCAGGGATGAGGCTGCTCCTCCAGCACCTCACCTTATGTCAGCAGGGCCTTCTTGTGAAATACTGTAACACACAGGGGAGTTACTTCCTGACCTCAGGCTTACGCTTTAGAGCATGAGGGTTGGAGGTTTAAATGGTCATCTCATCGACTGTAATTACAGTTCCTGTTCTTAGTTGTCTAACTACTCTGGAACTTACAAAGTTCTTGTTTTCATAACCACCTGTGTCAGGCACTTTGCTTGAGTCTCCCTAGAAAGGTAGGTGACTAAAACCTCCAGGGAAATGAACCTTGTCCACACAGACCTACTGGCCGGCAGATTTAAAGGTGAGCGACGCTCCAGTTAAAAGAAAATGCCATCGTACATTGATAACAATCGGCAAGTCACCGGTCATGGAATTCCAAGTCAGCGTCCACACGTTTTGGTGACAAGTGCTCACGTCCTTGGTCACAGTGAAGTCACTGGTGTGGAAGTACTGGTGTGTGGTGTTCTCCGGGTTGCTTTGCAGGAGCTCGCGGAGGCGATAGGAGGAGATGTTCACGGGGATACCTGGGATGTTCATTATAAAACAGGGATATCAACAACTGTGCAGCCACAGGTCCGCCTGGACCAGACATGGGAAGGAATCTAGAGTGAGGGTGCGTTAGATTTATGCTATGCTAGAGCGAGATCGCTGTCCTATAACATACATTAGTGTGGGAAAAGCCTCTGAAGGACTGAGCTAAGCCCTAATGAAGTCAGGGGGTGTCTTTTCATTCTCTTCTGTTGTATTTTGGATGGGTGCCTAAGCCAGCATCTAAAAGTATCCCTCCCCGCTTTGGGAAAAGTGAAGAACTAGCAGCTGCCTGCGAAGGGGACCATCTGCCAGCCCTGCCTTGGTAGGAATGTTTGTAGGAGCAAGATCCCGGCTCTCCTTCCTTTGGCTCCCAGGAAAACAAAGTTTCATCCTCCCTTTACCTGGTATCACTCTACTGGGCAGCAAGATCCGGAAGGTCCCACCAAGAGGTGGGGATGCCACTTGCAGTCTCTGAACTGTCAGAGTGACACTTGCACCTTCTGTGGACACCGCCAGGTCATCGTCATCTTCTGAGCCCGCTCCCCTGCTGGAGAAGATTGGAGCATCTGAATCAGCAGCACTCAACCCCAACGCAATCAGCAAGGATGGGAGATTGCAAGCAAAAATTCAGTTGAGTGCATCAGCATCTCAGTGCATCTAATGATGGCAAGGAGGAGGTATATACACTGCTTACCATACAGACTGATTTGCCTACAGCTTTACAATTATTTTTTAAAACTCCTACTTGGGGGGGGGGGGGGGAAAATGTCATTGGTGGTGCAAGAGTGCCATCATGTGGTGACCGGTGTGAATATCAGCTATATAGTTCAATTTCACACATTTTAGTTCATAGATTTTTAAGGCCAGAAGGGACCATCGGATCATCCAGCCTGACTTGTGTAACACAGGACAAAGAATTTCCCCCAGTTATCCCTGTACAGAGCCCTATAACTTGTGTGTGGCTAAAGCACATCTTCCAGAAAGGCATCAAGACTGGAGAGTCCATCACTCTCCATAGATTGTTCCAATGGTTAGCAATCCGTACAGTTATAATTCTGTTAGCTCTAATCTGAATGTGTCAGATTTCATCTTCCTGCCATTGGTTTCTCTAATGCCTTTCTCTGCTAGATTAAACAGCTCTTTAGTTTCCCCACAATTTCCCAGTTTCCCTCTGTCAGTATTGTTCAAGTCACCTCTTAATAGTCTTTTGACAAATACATTGAGCTTTTTTAGTCTCTCACTGTAAGGCAATCATTTTTGTAGCTTTTCTTTGTACCCTTTCAAGTTTAACATGCTTTTAAAAATGTTGACACCAGAAATGGGCACTGGTATTCCAGCACACCACTCACAGGCTACGTCTACACTGGCATCCCTTCCGGAAAAGGGATGCTAATGTAGCACGTCAGAATTGCAAATTCCGCGGGGGATTTAAATATCCCCTGCGGGATTTACAGGCCTGCCGCTTTTTTCCGGCTTGGAGATAAGCCGGAGAAAAGCGCCAGTCTAGACGTTATTCTCCAGAAAATAAAGCCTTTTTTAAGTAGGAATAAGAAATCCTCCGGAAAAGGCTTTATTTTCCGGAGAATAACGTCTAGACTGGCGCTTTTCTCCATCTTATCTCCAAGCCGGAAAAAAGCGGCAGCCATGTAAATGCAAATCCCGCAGGGGATATTTAAATCCCCTGCGGAATTTGCAATTCTGACGTACTACATTAGCATCCCTTTTCCGGAAGGGATGCCAGTGTAGACGTAGCCACAGTGTAGTGGTATACCATAGTAAAATCTACCCCTCCCATCTTACTGTGGAGAGAGAGGGAGGCAGAAGGAGAGAAGGATAGAAGAGGGGGAAAGAAAGAAAGAAAGAAAGAAAGAAAGAAAGAAAGAAAGAAAGAAAGAAAGAAAGAAAGAAAGAAAGAAAGAAAGAAAGAAAGAAAGAAAGAAAGAAAGAAAGAAAGAAAGAAAGAAAGAAAGAAAGAAAGAAAGAAAGAAAGAAAGAAAGAAAGAAAGAAAGAAAGAAAGAAAGAAAGAAAGAAAGAAAGAAAGAAAGAAAGAAAGAAAGAAAGAAAGAAAGAAAGAAAGAAAGAAAGAAAGAAAGAAAGAAAGAAAGAAAGAAAGAAAGAAAGAAAGAAAGAAAGAAAGAAAGAAAGAAAGAAAGAAAGAAAGAAAGAAAGAAAGAAAGAAAGAAAGAAAGAAAGAAAGAAAGAAAGAAAGAAAGAAAGAAAGAAAGAAAGAAAGAAAGAAAGAAAGAAAGAAAGAAAGAAAGAAAGAAAGAAAGAAAGAAAGAAAGAAAGAAAGAAAGAAAGAAAGAAAGAAAGAAAGAAAGAAAGAAAGAAAGAAAGAAAGAAAGAATTCAGAAAAATCTGAGTTTATCCACTCAGCTTTGTCCATGCTACAGAATAGGAACTTCTTTTTCTCTGTGTACAAGTGAAGACCCATTTACTCTGTACTAATCTACCATGCTGGGAAACCTAGCTGGTTTTGCAGTGCAGACAGGGCAGAACTGTATTTTAACTATGTTACCAAATCACTTGACAACCTTGAACTTTGCATAACTGTAACACAAACTACTCGCACTGAACAGAAGAGTTCTTGGGGATCCCCCTAAAATTATGGTCTGAATTGTGTCTGTTTCTCTTTTATTCTTCCTGATTCGGGCTGCATTTCTTTAAAACCCAAGGGTCTGATTTTTCAGAAGTGCTAGCACACCACTGCCATGGATTTCAATAAGAATTCCAGGTGCTCCTTTCTTTGTCTAAGGGTACGTCGAGACTACCGGGTTTTGTCGACAGAAGTTTTGTCGACAGTATCTGTCAACAAAACTTCTGTCGACAAAGAGCGTCCAGACACATTGAGTTCTGTCGACAAAGCAAGCTGCTTTGTCGACAGAACCCTGTAGTCTAGACGCAACCCTACAGGCAATAACACCTTTTGTCGACAGAACTCTGTCGACAGAAGGTGTTATGCCTCGTAAAATGAGGTATACCAGCGTCGACAAAACTGCTGAGTTCTGTCGACGTTATGTCGACAGAACTCAGCGGTAGTGTAGACGCTGGTATAGTTTTGTCGACAAAAGTCCACTTTTGTCGACAAAACTCAGTAGTCTAGACACACCCTAAGATCTAAATTAGACAAAACTCTTTGGGACAGAGAGCATGTGTATGCATGAGCAGGTCACTTCGCACAATGGGACCCTGATCTTCACTGGGTCTCATGGATGCTACTGGAATGCCAATAGTAGTGTGTAGCTGATTCATTCAGACACACTGAGCGCTAGACTTAAAAATGAGACTGAAAAAAATAAATAAAAACAGCTCCACTCTGTGAGCTGTGAAAACACACTGTACTGTTACATAGCACACAGAGTGAACTGGACCTGGGAGGTCACGGAGGAGTTGAAAGTGGGGATTGGTGGAGTGTGTTTGGCTGGTTTTTAAGAGAGTGAGCCCAGATCATAAAATCTAAATCTAAAGTCCCTTAAAGTTCCAGGGTGCTCAGCCGTTATCTCCATGCTGAACTGAGGAGATATCTCCATGCCCAGCACAACATTCCAGCCTGGATCCAAATTCTCCCAGAGCTTGGGATTAGAAGTTCAGGTCTTTTTTTAAATGAACTAACTAATCGTTCTCTCTGTTCTGTTTGGTCCAGGGCCCTCCCTTCCTATTAACGACAAATGGATTTCTGGGGACACGGACCTCTGCCTGATCTGCTTTCAAGCATAGCTGAGGCAAGATGAGACCTTCTGAGGGTCTGATGGAAAATGAACAAAAGAAGAAACATCAAGCACTTGCAAGAGAGAGAATAAATATTCACAGGAACAGCACCAGACTGGATCCAATGCGAATTCCATCTTGTCCAGCATCCTGCCTTGGACAGAGGCCAGCACCAGCCATTCTAGAGGAAGGTATGCGAACCCTGTTCTAAACACACGTGAGACAATCTGCCTCCAGTTCGTACCTCAGTGACAGAAGAGGGAGATCGCTGCCACAGCCAGCCACTAGCAACGAAACATTGAAGGTGGGCGGTGACCCCATCACACACACTTCTTGGATAACATTCCCACCTGGACGAGCTGGTCTGGGATCCCTTTGAAAAACTGAAGGAGAAATAGTATTCATTAGAGACAGCCGAGGATTTTCAATTTCAAAATTTCAAAGTTGTTTCCATTTCAGAATTGGAAATGGACCCACTGAAGGGTGTTTTCTTTCATAATTTTCCATCACATTGGCCACTTTGTATCAAAAACATTAGTGAAAGGTTTCATTTCCTAACAACTCAGTGTTTTCAGGGAGCTCAAGAAGGTCAATCACCCATGGTGATATAGGAAAACCTCGGAGTTACGAACACCTTGGTAATGGAGATTTTTCATAACTCTGAAATGATTGTAACTCTGAACTAAATAGGAGGCTTAGTCTTTCAAAAGTTGACAACTGCACATTGCTTTAATTCAGCTTGGAAACTTTACTATGGAGAAGAAAAATCCTGCTTTGTCTTTACTACATTAATAACTTACATTTAACAAAATACTGTACTGTCTTTGACTTTGTCTGTTTCTGCTGTCTGAGGCTACGTCTTACACTGCAGCGATATTTCTGGAAGCCGGAGGTTTCCCAAAATAGCTATTCCGTGTCTTTTGGGTGCTCCCATTATTTCAAGATATAACAGGCTCACTATTCTGATGTCCCTATAAATTCATTCCATAAGGAGTAAGGGACATTTCAGAATAGTGATTTATTTCGAAATAAGTGCTGTGTAGACAGTACCAAATTTCAAAATAAGCTATTTTGAAATTGACTCAAAATAAGAGATGCAATTTGCGTAGCTCAAATTATGTAGCTTATTTTGAGCTACAGGTGCAGTGTAGATGCACCTTGATTGCATACTTCCATTCCAAATGAGGTGTATGGCTGACTAGTCAGTTTGGAACTCTGAAAACTTACACAGTAGATAGAACCTCAATGAAAACAAAACAAATGTAAGTGGATGTTTTTTCAAGAAACTTTATTTTCAAAAAAATGCAGGGCGGTTTTTGGAAAGAAAAAGATACCCTCTCAAAAACCCAGCTCTATTACTGATATTCTGTAGGGAAGGTAAGTGCTTAGAACATCATCAACAAAGAGACAGGGATTCAGTTACCGGCTACATTCCTGTCCGCAATGATAATTTCATCGAGGTAAAATGAGCTGGCTGTCTCCTCGCCTCTCTCAGGGATCAGCATGTCGATCTGATGCACAAACACTGGGGAGTTGGCTTCAAGATCCCAGAGGGATTCGGAGCCATTGAGACAGCCTCTCCAGAGGTCAGCACACATGAACTTCCACCTGAAAGGCATTCAGGGTACATATGACTAATTGCCAGCTTATGGGCTAGGCAGCTGCCTAACTCTTATACTCAAGTGGGTGCTAATGTGATGGCCACCATCTTGGCTGATACATGCAGAATTAAACCAGGGACCTCCGGAGCTATAAGCAGGAGCTATAGCTAGAGGAGCTATGATGCAACAGCCTTGCTGTGGATCAGCACCGAGGACCCATTATTCACACTTACCAGTGGGTTACCCAAGGACAGCGCCTCCTCATGTTCAAATTGTTTTAAACAATATTAGAAATTAGAAGATTTACCTGGAGTTGCTTGGGCCTTTCAGGGCAAGGGGCTAAGGGGTACAGGAGTCAGGGCAGGAGGGGAGGGGTTCAGGGCTGAGGGTAGGAGTGCAAGAATGAGGGCAGGGGGTGGGGGCAAGGCTGGCCTGGGGCAGCAGAGGCCATGCTGCCCAACTGATGGCTGACGTTCCTGGCCAGACCAGAAGGGGGCATGATCTGTGCTATCCAGCTAGCAGCTGCTCCGCAGCTCTGCAAGGCTGTCAGAGGCACACTTGCTTGCCCCCCCCCCCTTTTCCCCATGGTCATTTGGGAGTACAAGTGTGCCCAGTGCTTACTGTGGTCATTGTGTAACTGTCCCTGCTAACACAGCCCTCCCTTCCCATCGGATGAGAGACAAATCGCATCCCATGAACATCCCATTGTCGTGGCACAACCAACCCCAGGCCTTGCTTAGTTTAAGTTCTATTAAGAAGAAGCTGCCTACCTAATTCGGTGGTCCTAGCTCTTGCCATTTAGCAGGAGTTCTTGAACAAGCAGACTCACAGATGGACAGATGGAAAGGGTACAGAGAAGAGCGACAAGAATGATTAAAGGTCTAGAGAACATGACCTATGAAGCCAGGCTTCATGAACTGGGCTTGTTTAGTTTGGAAAAAAGAAGATTAAGGGGGGACATGATAGCGGTTTTCAAATATCTAAAAGGGTGTCACAAGGAGGAAGGAGAAAATTTGTTCCTCTTGGTTTCTGAGGACAGGACAAGGAGTAATGGGCTTAAAGTGCAGCAGGGGAGGTTTAGATTGGACATTAGGAAAAAATTCCTAACTGTCAGGGTGGTCAAATATTGGAATAAATTGCCAAGGGAGGTGGTGGAATCTCCCTCTCTGGAGATATTTAAGAACAGGTTAGATAGACATCTGTCAGGGATGGTGTAGATGGAGCTTGGTCCTGCCTTGAGGGCGGGGGCTGGACTCGATGACCTCTTGAGGTCCCTTCCAGTCCTATGATTCTATGATTCTACGATTAACAGACAGATGCACAAACTTGCTCAAATATATAGTAGCTCTCAGTCTGTTTGGCATGCGGGAGAGAGAGCCGAAGTGTCTCCCATATGCCCAGAGCATTCGAATGCTCGAATTGCAAGCCTTTCTACCACGGGGAGCTGTATTATCACCTTGCCAGTACTCAAGGGCTGTGCCTAGTAAATTCTGTGCTTCCAGAAAGAAATGCAACCCCACACGCAGTTTTCTCACACTTCTCTGCCTTGAGGAACTCAAACCGGACATTGCTTAACTTGATGAAAAGCCTGCATTAGTCAGCTTTTCTCTTCCCCTGCAGACGCACAGAGAAAGGGTGGCCCAGAGTTGCTTTGCATGGTAAATTTCTCTGCACTTGTCATGCTTCACGTCACTCTCCCATGCCTTAAACCAGGGGTGGGGAACCTCAGACCCATGGCTTGCCTGGATCCGGCACTCATGACTCAGGGCCCCTCCCAGCATTGAGGAGCCCATGCTGGTGCTCCAGCCCCTCTGATGCACCCCAGGGGCTGCAGCACACAAAATCTACTAGGCTGGGCCCCCTAAGTTCTGGTGGGCAAGGAGAACATGGGGAGTGTCTTTCTTCTTCTCCGGGTGCATCTACACTGAATGGGGAAATGGCCATTTTTCTGGAAAAGCATTACTTGCGTCCACCCTGCTATTGAAGGATTTTTCCAACGGCGGTAAACTTTTTCGGAAAAAGGCACGTGTGGACGCAGAAAAGGGAGTTCTTTTGAAAGAAGAGGCCTCCAGAAAATAACACAGATGCCCTCGTGGCCACTCCATCCATACTAATCACAACTGAAATGCAAGATAGCATCCACATTGACTGGACACTATCTTTCGAAAAAGCAGATCACTTTTTTGTTGTGCTTTTGCTGTGCGGACGCTCTCTTTTGAAATAAGCTGTTCCAGAAGATCTCTTCCGGAAAAGCGTCATTCGAAAGAAGCTTGCAGTCTGGACATAACCTCAGGTCGGGGGCTACAGTGAGGGTTTGTTTTTTCTGCTTCTCACTTATGTGCAGCCCCCGACTGATTTTTCTGTGGGTGAGTGGCCCCAACACAAAAAGGTTCCCTACCCCTGAATTAAACCTCCATTCCAACTGTGGCAATCCCCACAACCACCTTGGAAAAACTGTGGCAACCACGCAAAAGCTCCTGAGGGACTGTGGGAGTATAGCAGATGTCAAATGCTTTGGACGGGTATGGCAAACTTCTCCTAGGGCCAGTCCTCTCAGCTAGAGCAAAAAGGTCAGAATCTTGTCTCCACTAAACGCAAAGGCTGTGTCTAGACTGGCATGATTATGCGGAAATACTTTTAACGGAAAAGGTTTTCCGTTAAAAGTATTTCCGCAAAAGAGCATCTAGATTGGCACAGATGCGTTTGTGCAAAAAGTGCTTTTGCGCAAAAGCATCCGTGCCCAATATAGACGCGCTTTTGCGCAAAAAAGCTCCGATGGCCATTTTAGCCATCGGGCTTTCTTGCACAAAAAATTAAGGTGCCTGTCTACACTGGCCCTCTTGCGCAAGTATTCTTGTGCAAGAGGGCTTATCCCTGAGTGGGAGTGTCAAAGTATTTGTGCAAGAAGCACTGGATTCTTACATTAGAACATCAGTGCTCTTGCGCAAACTCCCACGCCAGTGTAGACAGGCAGCAAGTTTTTGCCCAAAATCTTGCCAGTCTAGACGCACCCAAAGAGGACTAGGCGTTGGTGTTCAGGGAGCCATTTGCTGAAACTCTACCACATGTATTTGCATATTGGATACCTTTCAGGAGTGGTTTCATTCAAACTCCACTGGCAAGTAAAATTCTTCTGCATTGTATTCAGAAAGGCGTTGACATAGGACACCGAAACATAAAGGGTATTGCTCACATTACCTTTATATGCAAAGCACACCTAAGAAAGGGGAAGGAAAACAATACATTATTGCTGAAGGTTTATATTATGGTTCAAATCCAGACCACATTGGCAGGGACTGGCTGTTATTGCCCATTGATCTGTTTGCATTAGGTGAAATGAGTTACTGCTCCTCATCCAATTTCTCATGTACAGAAGTTTATGTTGTAATGCCCACCATTTTACTGATAGTAATTGGCACTGCTGTTGGCATCGAAAAGATGACTAAAATGGGCATTGAGAATGATATGTCACTCTCTGCCCCACAAAGGGAGTAATAAAAATAATACACACGCCCAGCTCTCATCTAATACTGTACTAATGCAATCAGCATTGTTCTGCCCATTTTACAGATGGTAAAACTGAGGCACAGAGAAGTGTCTTGCCCAAAGTTATCCAGCAGGCTAGTGACAGAGGTAGAAATAGAACACTGGTCTTCTGAGTCTCAGGCCAAGGCACTGTGAAGGATACATCTACACCGTGGGCTAAAGTCGAGTTAAGATAGGCAACTTCAGCTACATTAACTGTATAGCTGAAGTCGAAGTAGTTCAACTTGGCTTTAGGCCCTGTCTACACAGCAGGAAGTTGTAAGAAGAATGCTCTTCCTTCAACTTTCATTACTCCTCGTGAAATGAGGGTTACAAAAAAGTCATCTTCCTTCAACTTTCATTACTCCTCGTGAAATTAGGGTTACAAAAAAGTCGGAATAAAAAGCCAATTATTTCAAAATTATTTCAAAATAACAGGCTTGCTGTTTAGACGCACACTCTTATTTCAAAATAAGCGTGCAGAGTAGACATAGCCCTATCTTATTTCAAAATAAGCGTGCAGAGTAGACATAGCCCTAGTGGGCCAGAGAGCCGAGTATCATACTAGACTGGAAATTAAATGACCTGAATTCTATTCCCAACTCTATCGCTGCCTGCTTACATGATTTTGTACACGTCACTCAACCTCTTTGTGACCTAAACTGTATACTGAGGACGATGCTTACCTAGCTTTATGACATACTAGGAGTAGTATCGATGCAAATCTCTACAAGTATTGAGCAGGGTTACAGCACATTAAAGAAGTAACTTGGACTGGCGTGGACCATGACACGTTCTCTGGTTATTTCCAGAACAATCAGTTTCCAGGGCTGACAATCTATCACCTTTAATAAGTAACAGAATTACTTTATGGATGAATAATGTTTGCTTTGTCATGGCCCAGGAAGATACAATCTTGCATGGGTTTGGGGAAAATGGCAGAGAGCCTCAAATTCCTAATGTGTGTCCATCTCTTATGTTATTTGGTTCTGTGCCTTCCTCCATGTTTTGCCCTACTCAGAGAGGTTACTTACATGTGTGTACTCCGTGAGGTCGTATCTCGGTAAGGTTGAGAGAGACATTTTTACGAGATGTTTTGGCTGATAAACACTGAACCTTCCACAAAAGGGTTCTGTCCAGCTGACAACATGTCCCTCAGTGGCAGAGACGTCCTGGCCTATCAGTGGTAAAAATGAAAGGGATTAGAGGCTTGGGAAAAGATTCAAAAAGCCATGCAGGGGCTGGATGCTTGAAGGCCGGTGAATGCAATTTTGTGCCTAAATTGTGAATACTTGTGTACCCAGTGATGCGCATCAGATTGGTGCACACACTATAGATCACGGTTTCCCAACCTATGGGTCAGGACCCAAATATGGGTCGCCATTACATTTCAAAAGGGTTGCCAGGTGTCTCCCCAGGTGGCTCTTAAGGAGCCATTCACATATTTTTTGAATTGCCCTGGGTCACCAAGTCTTCCTGAATTGTCAAAATGGGTCCCCATCTGGAAAAGCTTGGGAACCGCTCCTATAGATACATGAGAAGCCTACCTACCATGATGCACTGAACCAGGGATCGTAATAGCTGAAAGCAGTGTTCTCTAAGATGGGTGCTCATGAGGCCACTCAAGAGAGATTCTAATGCTGCCCAGCTGGTTAGCAGAGGGCCCACAGCTAGATTTGTGTTTTCTCTTGTGGTGCACATTCAGACACTCCTTGGTGCACATAAAATTTATTCCACACAAGGCTGGAAAAGATTGGAGGAAACATTGGCTGAAAGCATGATGCCCCTGCAGCTTGATCAAAAGAGTCAAGCATTGTAGGTGAGGTCTGCACCAGTTGCAACTCCTCAGTGGATTAGGCACAGAGAGCCACAAAACACACACACACACACACACACACACACACCTCAACCAGTGCAAATCAAGCTCATCAAGATAATTGGAGTTCTATATTGACCCCAATTGTAAGCTCAACTGAGAAGAGCAAGTGAAAGTTAATAGCATAGCATAACACCCTACAATATTGATGGGAAATGGTGCAGAAGGGAAACAGATTGAAAAAGTCTATACAAGAATACCTAGTGATATAACAAAAGGACTTTTTTAAGATTATCTCTGGTAAACAAGAGAAGCATGGGACTGGAACTCATTGGACCAAAATTGGTGTTTTGGAATTTAGGCCTACTTAGTGAACAAATACTGAGGTGATTGGCTATTTTGTCCACCACTCATGTTTTGTGGGCCCAAAAATGGTTTTCGGGAGAAAACTGATGAATGGGAAGGCTGAGTGACTGAAAGACAAGAGCAGGGATAGGAGCAAACTTCACCATCATGGCTGCCCCCCTAATCTCCTCGGACCCCAGCATGTCACCACTGTGCCTTGTCCGTCCTAATCCTGAGAAATTTCCTCACTGTGCTAGGCCAGAGATAGGGACCCAAATGATATCACCACATCCACCAACTTGAACTAAATTGTCTTCATCCCTTGTGACTTTTTCCATCCCCACCTTATTTCTTCTCCTTCCTTCTCTCTCTTTTTTGCCTTCTATTTAATAAGAGCGTTACTTGGCTAGCCAAAACTGAGAGTCTGCCCCAGTCTACACTACAACTTCAGTTAACCCCCGTCCCCACCCCAAGGCAGACTATATAAGCAGAGCATCCACAGAATTAGAAAGCTGTACTCCTGCTTTCCATCAGGAGTAATGCTAATCCCACAATAGTTATTTTGAAATAGCTGTAGTGTGGGTGCTCCTGTGCCGCTGTTTTGAAATAGCTACTCCCTAGAGTAATTGGAACGAATTACTCCCCTGTGCTTCTTGGGGCTCTAAATCCGAGGTAGTGCATCCACATTAACAAAGCCTGCCTTGGATTAATTTCAAGGCTTCCCGGTAGTGTGGACACGCTAGTTCGATTTTGTTAAATCGGGAGTTATTCAGTTGAATTTAGTAATTCTGAAATACTTCCCTAGTGTAGACATGACCTCTGTGAGCAGAGAGGTAGAGGTGTAGCAAGGGTGTTATGTGCCCGTGGGCAAAGGCAAAATTTGCACCCTGTCCGCCGCCACACGGTGGGGCCCCAAATTTGGTGCACAGCTGAGCCCAACCCTGGGAGAATGTGGGGGAGCTTGTACCACGTCTTCCTCCACCCCCTCCAGTTTGGGGCCGGGCTCCCATATGTACTAACCCGCCAACGGAGATGGAGGAGGATCAGGCTGGGGGCAGAGAGGTGGGGAGGAGGCTCCAGGCACCGGCCGTGGGCAGAGGAGGAGCAGGAGAGCTGAGGGATGACAGGGGGATCAGAGGGGGGCTAAATTGGCACCCCCTAGTGTGGCACCCGCCTAGTGTGGTGCCCGGGGGCAGCTACCCCTCCCACCCACCCCCCTCACTACGCCACTGCAGGGAGGCAGTTAAAAACAATGCCCTAAGAAGCCTTATGCTGGGGTAAGTTTGCCATAGAGTGGCTCATAAAACCATGTGATTTGTCAGTGTTTCTCCAGAAGCGAGGCTCAAGAAAGAGTCCAAAGTAGAGACAGAAGCAGTGTTTTCTATCTTTGCTGTTCTTTTCCTTCCCTGTTTGTGTGTGTATGGCTTAAATTGTCTTCCAGGAAACGGGATTGGACTAGAACAGTAGCTCCAGCCCATTTCAACTGATTTTTTCTTTTTTCCCCCCAAAAGCTCAGTTATTACCCTCTGCACTACCACCCAAAAGACTCAAAACAGGGAATTTTTTTAAAGCCTTTGTCCCGCTGACAGAAAAGGAAAGAAGGGAAGTTGTTAAAATGAAAGTCTACTTAATACTTCGCATTTTAAATGCTTTAACTGTTCTATTCTTTGCTGTATTTTTAATAAAGGGTTAAAACAATTTATGGTGTGTTTGTCTCAAACCTTGTTTAAAACTATTCTATACTGGACAGTGGCAGAGTCACGTTTAACAACTTAACTCTTTGGGCCCATTTTGTCCATCTAAATTAATACAACAGAGGTAGACTTGTAGACTAAGGTCAGAACAGACCATCATGATCATAGAATCACAGCAGAATAAGGTAGGAAGAGACCTCAGGAAGTCACCTAGGAAAGAATTATCTATAGTAACTCACAGCTCTCCCCATCTAGTCTTCCGATTACATTAGACACATATCTGTGCACAGACCTACCTTTGAAAATATGGTACCAGAGAACTTCACACAGCTGTAGAACCTACATAACACAGCACTTTATGTCCCTAATGTAAACTGTCCCTATACACCCTGATATTGCAAACATATAATTTGCTTTGATATTGGAAGCAGCTTGTTTGTGTAATAAAACAGATTGGGAGAGGGAGGAAGAATCAGTAATTAACATATTAGCAATACTGGTTTTAATACCAGTTCAACAATTCATTCCTGTCTAAACTCCCTCGCTTTAAATAACACACACTATTGATAAACCAGGAGGAAAATAAATGTGTAAAACCATTAAGAGCATAACAGCCCCCACCACCACTCACACAAAGGTCTTGTTTGGTACATGAAGAGAAACACACTGCTACAGAATGTGTGTCTGAATTTTTTTAAAATGCATTACCTTCCTCAAAGCCTTTCCAGAGAAGGAATTTAGCAGATAACGGCTTCATTTCACATTTCACTGAAAGAAGCTCCTCTATCGCTGTTTGGACCTATAAAAATAATATTCGCAACATGATCATTGTCAGTTAACTGTGCAGCAGAGAGAGTAGAAATGCTCATAAAGTGGTCACTGCATTTAGTTAAATTAATCATAGAGCTGGAAGAGACCTCAAGAGGTCATCAAGTCCAGCCCCCTGCACAAGGCAGGACCAATCCCAACTAAATCAACCCAGCCAGGGCTTTGTAAGCCGAGACTTAGGTAGCCAGGAAGCAGAAGAGAAAGATCCATCTTCTTTCATATAGCATGGGGTGGCATGGACAAAAAGCTAACACTTCCTATTGTACCAGCTAGCCCTGGAGATGGAGGGAATGAAATCAGATTCCGTATGAACAGGCCTGGAAGAACCAGCTTAGATATTTAAGAACCATCCACTTTTGACCAAAACTGAAACCAAAGCTGGGTGTTTAAAGGGCTTCTCAAAACTTTACAATTCCCATTATGCTGTACTCCCAACAAATTGTTCCACTTTCACATTCCCGCTGGGATCAGAGACAGGTGATGGATACTACGAAGAAGGCTATTCTCAAAGGGTTCCTTGGCTGCCCAGAAGCAAGCAGGAAGAAAAATACCCTAGGAAAGCCAAGTTCTCAAGAGATGTGCAGCCCAGCCAGGTGGATACATATATATGATCAGAGTCGTCCTGTCCATAGGACGAATCAGGGTGGCCGCCCCAGACCCGCCGCTTTTGGGGGCCCCGCAGTGGTCACCCCACTGTCCTATGGATGGGAGGGACCTGAGGGATTGTGGGGACCTGGTATACAGTGGCAGGGGTTGCCCCGCCCTGCCCCCACTCACCACAGGGGTGGCAGGAGCCAGAGTGGCCTAGCAGCCTGCTCACTCTGCTTCGTCACCCTCTCCTGACCTGTTGTGCATGGCTTCTCACCCCAGGCTGCTCTACTTCCTGCCACCCATGGAGAAATAAGGTGCAGCGGGCTGGGAGGGCAGTGTAGGCTGGTAAAGCAGGCTACCCCAGTCCTCCAGCTCCCACCATTTTGCACGGTGAGTGGGAGGGAAGTGAACCCTGTTGCTGCTGCACCAGCCCCCCTGGAATCTCCAGGCCATGTCACTCGGGGAAGGAGGTGAGGGGGTGGGAGCAGAACAGGGGTGGGGCTTGGGGAAGAGGTGGACCAGGGAAGGGCAGAGTCTGTGGCAGTGGATTTGCCCTGGGCCCCTCTCGGGACAGACCTGACTATGATTCATATCATAACAAGAAACAGTGTCTGGAAGTTAAAGACAAACAAACAAATTCAAGTAAAAATAACGACAGATTTAAAAAAAATCATTGAGGGTGGGTGGTTAACTACTAGAGCAAGCTATCAAGACACACTGCCCAGAGACATAGTGGATTCTCCATCTCTTGGTGGCTTCAAATTAGAGCTGTACAGCCGGAAGTGTACAATTAATACATTTTAAAAGCATTCCCAGTAACTGTAAACGTCACTGGGATTATAGAAAAAGATCTCAGTCTCTAGGCCTGATCTTCAGCTTGTGTTAGTCAACACACCTCCATTGCCTTAAACCACATGAGTTCTGGTCCTCTGTGCTTAATTCTACTTACCTGAGCAGCTGTGACATTTGTGGCCAACAGGTCACTGGACACATTGTCCCAGGAAATATGGAACCATCCAGTACCAGACAAAGTCAGCATCTGACAAGCAGGAAAAACAAGAACAAACTACATGAGCTACATACACATGATTGGTTAATTCAGGGGATCTTTACATAAGCAGAGTTCTGCCCTTCTGAGCTCTGCCAGACAACACAAGTGTCACTGTGTGAGCTCTTGCAATTCACACTGAAAGCCTTGGTTCTCAGAGTGTAGAGGCAACAAGTCTGAGGCCTTGTCTTTACTTATCTGGAAAGTCCAATTAAGATACACAACTCTAGCTACACACCTTAATTTGACCTTTGGCACCATCTCCACAGCAGGATATCGATGGGAGAAATGCTCCCATTGACTTCACTTACTCGCGACATGTAAGAGTTCCAGCATTGGCAGGGGTGCCCTCAGTGTTCCATTTAGTGGGTCTTCTAAAAACCCATTAAATCAAACACCAGAAGATTGACCAGCGTCAGTCTTCCTGGTAATGACAATGTAGCCAAAAGAATCTGCCCAGTGTTACACAAACCAGTGGCAGACCTAGGACCAGACCCTCAGACTCCTAGGGTGTGTCCAGACTACAGGGTTTTGTCGACAAAAGTGGACTTTTGTCGACAAAACTATACCTCCGTCCACACTGCCTTTGAGTTATATCGACATAACGTCGACAAAACTCAGCAGTTTTGTCGACGTATGTAAACCTCATTCTACGAGGAACAACGCCTTTTGTCGACAGAGTTCTGTCGATAGAAGGCATTATTGCTTCTACACTGTCCTTTGCGTCCACACCGTTATGTCGACAAAGTGGCTTGCTTTATCAAGAGAACTGGATGTAGTCTAGACGCTCTTTGTTGACAGAAGCTTTGTCGACAGTATCTGTCAACAAAACTTCTGTCGACAAAACCCTGTAGTCTAGACACATCCCTAATGCCCGGTCTTGAGCTTTTATCCACTATAATAAGAGTTCTTCTAGCTACTAACTCTTTTTCCAATCATAAGTCTTTTTTATTAGCTGATTATTAATATAAGTTGATTCAGTTCCCAAGGTGACACTTTAGCTCCATGTTTGCTAGGAAAAGAGATGTGGCCCTACCTTATATGAGTTATCATAAAATTCTAGTTTTAACACGTTAGTTTTACTTTGACCTGCTAATCTGCTAACTCATGTTAAAACTCCAAACTGACTTGTCTCCACTAGGATTTTACCTCATGTCAGTTAATTTGCATTAACAAGCACAAGGTAAGAACACTGGGGGTGAGGGTGCGGGGGAAGTCTGGTAAAGACAAGACCTATACCAGTGTTTCTCAACAAGTGGTCCAAGTGCCCTTAGGGGTACCTGAGAAGTCTGGAGGGTATGTCAACACAACTGAAATTTGGAGAAAACTGAATTTTTGTTTAAATTTTACAGCACTTTATTATTTTTGTACTTCTTACACCCAAAAATTTCATCGCCCACCTGACTACAATTAAGTTGTTTAACAAAAGTGTTGCGATAGTAGGGGGGAAAATTGTGTGTGTCTGAAAACTGTACATACCAAGGTACTTATGACTTGATTTTTTTTTTTTGAAAAAGGGGTCCTTTATAAAAAAAAAAAAGGTTGAGAAACACTGGCCTGTACAATAAAGATTTGCTGTACAATATATGATGTAAATAGCATTTCAGGCAAGGGATCACAGATGTGGCCCTGACCTGTATCTCTGGAAGCCGGTGAGCAGTGGCCCGGATTTCGTGCCTTTCTCGGAGGTAGGTATTCACCACGTCTGGGTTTAGCCAGGTGTTGTGCAACTGCACCCCAACTCGCATTCCGCTGCTGGGTGCCTTCCCATGATGCCACGCTTCCAGGTAGTACTTTGAGCCACCCAGCAGCTCAAGTTTCTGGGATTTGGGCTGCCAGCTCTTGTTCCAGTTCTGCTCCCAGTGCTCAGACCACAATTTTCACTTTTGTTCAAACCAACAAAAACAACAAGATAATTACACAGCAGGGTCTGGCTCCGAAAAACTCGAGAAATGGGCCTCCAACACTGGAGAGATTAAGTGCCAAAGACAAAGCAGATCATATTCACAGCCCTGAGCAGATGTCTGCAGCATTCCTTCCTTTTGTGTAAGAGAAAGTCTCAGTCTGGTAGAGCGCTGTGATCTAGGCCAGTGGTTTTCAACCTATAGGTTACGACCCAGAACTAGTTGGGGTTGGTCCTGTCTGGGGCAGGGGGCTGGACTTGATGACCTTCTGAGGTCTCTTCCAGGTCTATGGTTCTATGATTCTATGAACTGGGGGGTGGAATGCCAGTCTTGTTGCTGCAGGGGGAGCAAGTGACCAGTGGGGGTGCTAAGGCAGCTACCTACCTGTCCTGGCACCGCAGACTCTGCTGCACCTCAGAAGCAGCCGGCAACCGGCCTGGCTCCTAGGTCGGTGGATTGCCTAGAGCGCCATGCATTGCCCCTGCCCTGAGCATTAGCTCTGCACTTCACTAGCTGGGAGCCTGCTGCTGACTGCTTCTGGGGCACAGCATGGTCTGCGGTGACAGGAGATGCAGGGAGCTGCCTTAGCACCCCGCTGCACCACTGACCAGGAACCAAGGTGAGCCCCTTCTGCCCCAGCTCTGACACCCCCAATGCTGGAGCCCCCCTCCTACAGCCCAAAGCTCTCCACCCGGGAACCCACACGCGAGCCAAATTACGTTGGGTTGCAGCATCCACAATTTCCTTCCACTGGGTCATGAGAAAAAAAGTTTGAACACCGCTGCTGTAGGGATCTGAGCGGAGTACCAGGAGGCAGAGACTCCTCATCTCTCACCCCAGCCCTAATCATCGCTCACCCTGTGGTCTGTAAGCATGCATAGCACAGGAGACTCTGCCGGCGCCCAAAGAGATTGGAGAGGGCAGTACTGATGCTGGGGTGGCACTGGGCAGTGTGTTTGCTGATAAAGAGGATCGTGGCTGATTTGTTTGTCCTGGACAGCAGTGTTGGATTGAGTCCATGATGAATTCCTGCCTCCCCAAAGGCTGGCAGGTGGGTTTCCATCCCACCCCAGGAGAGAGGCAGGAGTTTGGAGCTCACTCCCTGCAAGGACTACGGCCACCCTGCATAATGGAGCAGGGACTCGGGCCCTTTCATTGTCTGGTGTTCCAAACGCTCTGGGATTGCTGAAGCTGCTCTCGCCCACTGGTGGAAAATGGGATGCCCTTTGAAATGGGATGCGGAGTGCTTCACCACTTGCCGCGCCAGTCCTGCTGACTACCCCGTGCCGGACGCCATGAC